AAATTATTTTTTTACTTTGAAGCTTTTTTAAAAATAAAGCTTTTTTAGAAAAACTTTTTACTAAAATTGTTTTTTTCTGATATGCTTAATACAAATGAATATTTTTCAGGAAAGCTTTTTGTATAAATTTATTCTAACTTAAAAGCTTTTCCAAATAAAAAAATTGTTTTAAAAGACTTTTTCTAATATTATTTTTACCAATGAGCTTTTTCCAAAAAAGCTTTTTCTAAGCTATTATTCTCTTTCAATCTTTTTGAGTAAAATTTTTTTCTCAAGAAAATGTTTTTGAATAACTATTTTTCCTCAAGAAAGGATATGTATTTGCAATAATTATAGAAATTTTTTTTTTACATTGAAGCTTTTTTAAAAATAAAGCTTTTTTAGAAAAACTTTTCACTAAAATTGTTTTTTTCTGGTATGCTTAATACAAATGAATATTTTTCAAGAAATCTATTTGTACAAATTTATTCTAACTTAAAAGCTTTTCCTAATAAAAAACTTGCTTTAAAAGACTTTTTCTAATATTATTTTTACCAATGAGCTTTTTCCAAAAAAGCTTTTTCTAAGCTATTATTCTCTTTTTGAATATTTTTATTTAGGAAAGCATTTTCGAAAAAAAGTTTTTAATGAAAGTTTTCTAAAAATTAATAATCTAACAATTTTTAAACTAAAAATTCTAAAAAAGCTTTTGTAAAAAATATATATTTTATTTAAAAAGCTTTCCTTCTTACAAAACAACTTTTTACCTGACATGGTTTTTGTAAAAGATTGTTTCTCTAAAGCTTTCTGTAGAAATATCTTTTAAACTTTTAACAAAAAAATCAAAAAGATAACTTTTATCCAGACTAAAATGGCTTAAAAGCCATTTAAAGAAAAGCTTTCACATAATTACTTTCAACTAAAAAGCTTATTTTACTAGTGTTTCTACTAACATTATTAACTTAATTTTCTTTCAGAACTTGAACGTTTTATTGCCAATGTTGAGTCCAAGGGTGAAAACTCCAACAATCTCAAACGTCACTTGTTAAATGCCTGCTTCCGTAGCAAGAACTTGGAAAAAACTCTACAAATTATGGAGCGTTTAGAAACGGAGAAGTATGTTTTAGGTTCTGGAACATTCGCCCAATTGATTGATTTGTACACCAGCCATGGTCATGTCTCCGATGCCCTAGCCACCTATGAAAAAACTAAAGCTAAAGATGCCGAATTTCATTTGGACAATTTGAAAACCGTCGGCATTGTTGATCTACTAATCAAGGAGGAACGTTTCGATGATGCTTTACAATTCTTGGATAAAAACAAGAAGACACAAGCTGTGGCAGAGAGTGAGAACAATTACAATTATGCCTCGAAAATATGGCGTATTTTGAATTCTTTGGCTGAGTCAGGTGATGCTGATAAATTACAAAAGATCTTCAATGCTTTTGTTCAAGGTAACTACGTTGTGCCCAATAATGTTTTGTTGGGTCCTTTGATTAAGGTCCATTTGGTTAAGGATAACATACCCAAAGCCATTGAGGCCTTTGAAAAAGTGTGTGAAGAATACAAAGCTACTCCCTGGAAAAATGAATTGGCTCGCCGCTTGATATTGACAGAAGATGCTGCTAATTTACAAAAGGTTACCGATCTCAGCACTAACATACACGGTGAAATTAACAGTTTGTACGATTTGGTATTCTCCTTTGTGGAATGTGGACGCATAAGACAAGCACGCAAAATTTTAGAAACTCCTGGCTTACGTACACGTCCTCATCGCATTGACAATGCCTGTGAACGTTATAAGAACGAGGGTATGGTGGAACCTTTGGAAGGTTTGATTGAAGCCACCCGCGATTTAAGTCACATTGATCGCAATAAGATTTACTATAGTCTTTTGTTAAGCTACAGCAAGTCAGAAGATGCTGAAAAAGCTTTGGGATTGTGGACAAAAATGCAAGAGGAAAGTATAACACCCAACGATGCTTTCCTCATTAAACTGGCTGAACTATTGGAATCCAAAAATATGACGGTGCCATTTGTAGTGCCCCAAACTGAAAAGCAAAAAGCTAGAAAAACCAAAATTGAAGCTGTAGCCAAGGCGGCTGAGGATTCGGTTAAAAAGCCAGCTGCTGCTGCTGCTCAGCCCAAGCCTGTTTCAAATTTATCTCTATTCCGTAAAGCATTACACTCCAGTGATTTGGAGGCAGCTCTTACCTATAAGAACCAATTGAAACCTTCCGAACAGGCCTCCATTATGGATGTATCGCATTTGATTGAACAATTGGTGAGAGCCGATCGCCTCAGTGAAGCCACCAAATATGTCAATGAACTGTTGGCCAACAAAGCGTATCCCATTCCCAAAATCTTTAAATTCTATCTTAATCGTGTAGCCAATGCTGGTGATTTGGAAACTTTAAAAACTGTAGGTGATCAATTGAATGAGGAACAAAAACGTATTGTCAGCTTTGATAATCGCTATTGTCATGCCAACATAGTGGCCGGAAAGGTAGAACAATATTTCAAGCAGCTAAGTGAGGATATTAACGCTGCCAAGACACCCGAGGAAGTAACCAAATTGGCCGAGAAATTCCCTCGAGGAGGAGCTTTGGGCATTTTAGACAAACATCCTGAATTGGTGGGACAATGTAAGTAGAAGTGAACTAGAACTGAACCAGAATTGTATGCAGTTCGTTAACTATTTATTAAACTTTAATTCTTTTTCTTTAACTAGTTGAAAAATTAGCTGAAGCTTATGCCAAACACAATCAATTGGGACCCATGAATGTATTATGGATTCATCACATCTCTTCGGGCAATGAGGCAGCCTCCAAACAAATTTGGGAAAAACATCTTTCCAGTGCTCCTCGTCTTATGTTCCAACGTGTCTTACAAACAGCACGCGAACAAAACGATGACAAATTGGCCCAAAGTGTCATTAGCCAATTGAGAGAATCGAAAATTTCCGAGGGAGCCATTGGTAATGCCTACTCCTGTCTAATTGACATACAAACTGGCAAGGGTAATGCTGACAAGGCTCTGGAAACCCTTAAGACTGCTATTAAGGATGTTTGCTTAGAACACATTAATCGCACTGCTTTACAGCGTCTTAAGTCCGTACTGGAAGCTGAAAAGAAGGAATTCCCCTACACAATACCCGAAAAGAAACCCACAGCTGCTGGTAAATCTGTATCTTCATCCTCTTCCAGCCAGAGTAGTGATGATGATGTAACACCCAAACGACCAGAAACTAAACCTACGAAGCCTACGAATAAAGACGAATAAGTTTAATTTGTTTTTTAATTTGACTTAAGTTTTATTATTCATTAAGGTTTCGTTTGCTTGTTTAAAACACTTGTCATTAATTTATAATGATTTACAATAGTTTTTTTTTTAATGAATTAACTCCTTTTTGCATTATAATTGTATTTCCTTTCTTGTATATTTAAAAAAAAAATATTGTTAAGTATTCATTTATTTTTGTTTTTGTTAAAACATAATGAAAAATAAAATATGTTATTATTTAATACAAAAAAAATTAAGAAAAATAAAAATTGAAAAAACTAAATGTTGAGTTTTTTAATTAAATTGTGATTAGAAGATATGTATTATTATAGTAATTAATAAACATCAATAAATCTAAATAAAGTTGCCTGAATGAAATGGGAGTTCAAAATTTTTGAAGGGCTTAGGATTTAAATTTTGATACAAATCTTTATTTATTAACAAAAATCAGTGAAACGTTTTTTAAATTTGTAATAAAGTGTAAAAAACTTGTCAAAGGGAATCCTGCAAATTCCCAAAATTTAAAGTCAAAATCCCAAAAGCACTAATCTAACATTTTTGACTATAGGGTGCACATTTCTATTGTATTTGGAATAAATAGGGAACATACACAACAGCTTTCCATTTTCTGATCAAAAAATATGACATTCCTTTCAAAATAACATAAAATTTCTCTTTCCAAAAAATAAAAATCTTTGAAATCAGAAAAAATTAAGTCGTTTAAAAATGTTATATATCAAATATGACTTTGAGCCCACTGGGACATTTGTTAACTTAAACTCGAACACCCCTTGGCTACGACCATGTCAAATTTTATACCGATTAGACTAGCTGTTCAGAATTACCAGCGTTCTTTTTAAACAAATTTTGAATCTGTAGGTTTCTATAGTTGAAACGAAACGTCGACTTTTCGACTTTTTTCATTTAGTTAAAAGTCGACTTTTCGACTTTTTGCATTTTATGAAAAGTCGATTTTTCGACTTTTCGACTTTTTTCATTTAAATAAAAGTCGACTTTTAGACTTTTCGACTATGAGTATTTTATAAATAGTTGACTATTTTCGACTTCTTTCTACTTTTTTCCGACTATTTTTTGACTTTTTTTGAGTTTTTCCGACTATTTTAGAGTTTTTGACTTTTTTTTTCCACTTTTTTAAAATTTTTGACTATTTTTGACTTGTTTCTACAATTTTCGATTTTTCGACTTTTTCCGACTTTTCGACTTTTTCCGACTTTTTTCGACTTTTTACGACTTCTCGACTTTTTTCGACTTTCTTCGACTTTATTCGACTTTTTTCGATTTATCGACTTTTTTCGACTTTTCGACTTTCACACTTTTCGACTTTTTTCGACTTTTATTCACAAAGTCGACTTTTCGACTTTTTTCACAGACGATAGTCGAGTTATCGACTTTTTTGGAACAAAATAGTCGACTTCGACTTTTTTCGACAAAAAGTCGATTGTTCGATTATTCGAACGTCGATTTATAGAACCCTATGAATCTGCTTCACTGTGCAATAAATAGGAAATTATATTATTGTGGAAATTGTTTGATTTGATTTGCTTTAATTCATATAATTAAAATAAATCCATGGACTTATAAAAAAATAAAGGCCTATGTCATTAAATCAATAATTTTTCTTTAAAAATTAAATTTAATTCGAATGCATCTTTTATATATTTTCATTATTCGCTTTGCCAACTTAAACTTTGACAACTCTTAGTTACTTTTCATGACACAACAATCTGGCATCCTCTAAACAGAGAGCGACTTGTCGGCAAAAAAAAAAATCATAATTTTTTATATTTTCCGCTTGTTTAAACGTTTACTAAACATAAAATTACTTAAAAATAAATAAAATTTATTAAAAATCAACGGCAAAAATGTCGGAAAGTGATAGTGAAAGTAATTCTAGTGGCAGTGATTCCTCGTCAGCCGCTAGCCATCAACAACAGTCTAGTGCTGACGAAAGCCACGATGGAAAAAGTGTGGTAGAGAAGAAAAAATCAAAATCCAAAAGCAAATCGAAAAAGGACTCCAAAAAAACTAAACAACATATAGAAGATAAAGAAGACGACTCAAGGAAACCAAATATTGGAGACGACGAAAAGAAAAAAGATGAAAAATCGGTCAATAAAAAGGATAAAAAGCATAAGAAAAAAGAAAAGCATTCAAGCTCTGAGAACTCATCGTCGTCCTCTTCAGATTCTTCCTCTTCTTCCGAAGACAGCAGCAGCAATAGTGAAGGTGAGATTTCTACCACGGAATCATCATTTAGTGATAGTGAAGAGGAAGCTAAACAAAAAAAGAAATTAAAAAAAGCGAAAGCAGAAAAAAAGGTAGCAGATAAAGAAAGTATATGCCAGGAAGATGATAAAAAGGATAAAGTAGTTACAGCAGCAAAAAGTCCTAAGGAAACTTCCCCAGAACACAATAACGAAAAGGCGGAAGCTAACAAGAAAGCCTTAGAGGAAAAACACCATAATGATGAAACTAAGAAAACAACTAAAGAACCAGAGGAAGGTGAAATACCCGAAGCGGAGGCAGAAGACAATAACCAAAAGGTTAACTATTTAGATAAAACAATAACTTATTTTCGAATTAATTTTATTTTATCTTTACAGAAAAGTTCATCCTCGGCTGAAGATCAAGATTCTAATGGCTCTAAAAAACTACAAAGCATAGTAGGCAAATCGTATCAAGAAAACCGTGAATCTAAATCACATTCAAGATCACGCTCAAAATCTATGGATAATAAAAAAGAACGCAGTAGATCACCACAGAACAGCCGCAACAAAAGATCACCCAGCAGAAGTCGATCTCGCGAACTGCAACGTAAAAGACATTCTAGATCAAGATCAGCAACAAGATCACGTTCCCGGTCAGTTTCCCGGGAAAGAAAACGTTCCGATAGACGTCACGAACGTAGACGTTCCTCTACGGCTGAATATGAAAAACGCATTTCACGGCGTTCCGAGTCTTTAGAAAGAAGACGTGAAGAACGCAAAAAACGTCATGCCGAAAGAGACGAACAAGAGAAGGCTAAACGTTCGAGAAGAGAAGAAGAAAATGCCGAAAGACGTGAAAAAGAACTTAATAAACCCGATGGAGATCCGGATAAAGTTAAAGAACTGGATAATACCACTGTAACCGATCCTAAAGCCAAGATTACCGAACGTCAGCGTAAGACGGTAGATCTGTTGACCTCACGTACTGGTGGTGCCTATATACCACCGGCTAAATTGCGTCTCATGCAAGCGGAAATTACGGACAAAGCCTCGGCTGCTTATCAACGTATTGCATGGGAAGCCCTTAAGAAATCCATACATGGTTACATTAACAAAGTCAATGTGGATAACATAGCCATTATAACACGGGAATTATTGAAAGAAAATATAGTACGTGGTCGTGGTCTACTCTGTCGTTCCATTATACAGGCACAAGCCGCTTCACCCACTTTTACCCATGTCTATGCAGCTTTAGTCTCGATTATTAACTCAAAATTCCCCAATATTGGTGAATTATTGCTAAAACGTTTGGTTATACAATTTAAAAGAGCCTTCAGACGCAACGACAAGGCCGTCTGTTTATCCTCCTCACGTTTCATAGCTCATTTGGTTAATCAGCGTGTGGCGCATGAAATTCTGGCTTTGGAAATTTTAACACTTTTAGTGGAATCGCCCACCGATGATTCCGTCGAAGTGGCCATAGCTTTTCTCAAAGAGTGTGGCATGAAGTTAACTGAGGTCTCGTCCAAGGGTATAGGAGCCATATTTGAAATGTTGAAAAATATCCTACACGAAGGTAAACTCGATAAACGTGTACAATATATGATAGAGGTGGTATTCCAGGTGCGTAAGGATGGTTTTAAGGATCATCAATCGGTTATAGAGTCATTGGAGTTGGTCGAGGAAGATGATCAATTTACACATTTGCTTATGTTGGATGATGCCACAAATACGGAGGATATGTTGAGTGAGTATAAGCAAGCAATTCCAAAGAACTCTCTGCGAAAACCTTATGATGAACTCTACTAATTCCCAATATTATTGTTTTCAGATGCTTTTAAATTCGATGAAGAATATGCTGTCAACGAGGAGAAATACAAAGGGCTGAGTAAAGAAATATTAGGTAGCGATGCTTCAGATTCTGATGGTTCTTCTTCCGGTTCCGGCAGTGGATCCGATTCTGATTCATCCGATTCCGATGATGATGAAAAGGGTGAAGGTAAACCGACGGCAGAGGAAATTATCGATAATACCGAGACAAATCTAATCGCACTAAGACGCACCATATACTTGACCATCAATTCGAGTTTGGACTATGAAGAATGTGCCCATAAACTAATGAAAATGCAACTGAAACCGGGTCAAGAAATTGAACTTTGTCACATGTTCTTGGATTGTTGTGCCGAACAGAGAACCTATGAGAAATTCTATGGTCTGTTGGCGCAACGTTTCTGTTCGATTAACAAAATCTATATAGAACCATTTGAGGAGATTTTCAAGGATACTTATCAAACTACCCATCGTTTGGATACAAATCGTTTGCGTAATGTTAGCAAGTTTTTTGCTCATTTATTGTTTACGGATGCCATTAGTTGGGATGTATTGGAGTGTATTAAGCTGAATGAAGATGATACTACTTCATCGAGTCGTATTTTTATTAAGATACTATTCCAAGAATTGGCCGAATACATGGGTCTGGGAAATTTGAATAAGAAACTAAAAGATGAGGTTTTGGTGGAAAGTTTAGCTGGTCTCTTTCCCAAAGACAACCCTAGAAATACTAGATTTTCTATTAACTTTTTTACTTCCATTGGTTTGGGTGGTCTAACGGATGAGTTGAGACATTTCTTGAAAAATGCTCCCAAATCGGTGCCAGCTATAAATGCCGAAATTTTAGCTAACAAACCTATTAATGCGGAGAGTTCATCCTCATCCTCGTCAACATCTTCCTCCTCCTCATCATCATCTTCCTCTAGTTCGAGCGAATCTTCCTCCGAGTCGTCATCATCAGATTCTGATAGTGAATCCTCCTCGGACTCTGAAGCAGACAAAAAGAAACGCAAAGGGAAAAAACTTAAAAAATCGAAGAAATCTTCTGCTACAAAAAAGAAGGAAAAAGAAAAGTCCAAGAAAAAGAAAACTAAATCTAAGAAAACTGATAAAAAACGTAAAAAGTCAAAAAAACAAGAAAGCTCCTCTTCAGAGGCTGAATCATCTTCTAGTAATGAAAGCAGCGATAGTGAGGCAAGCAGTAGTGAAGATGAAAAACATAAATCAAAGAAGAAGAATAAAGATAAATCTAAACACAAAACGAAACCAAATAAGAAGTCTAAAAAGAAATCCAAACAAACAGATAGTGACAATGACGACAATTCCTCAGAACAGGAGAGGGAAGAAGTTAAGGAGAGAAAAAAACCTCAAAACTCAGAAAATGGATTCGAAAATACAAAGCAAAGAAGGGAACAAGAACATAATGAAAATAGAAGAGATAAAAACGATTACAAAAACGAACGTTCAAAAAGAGCGGAGCCGCAGCGAAGAGACAGCGAGGTGGAAAGACGCCGTGAAGAACGTGAAAAGCGCCACCGTGAAAAGGAACAGACACGTGAACGAGATAGAAAACGTTCACGTTCAGTTTCACAAACACGCGAACGTCGCGATGATCGTGCACCAAAAGAAAACAGAGAGCGTAGAAATCGTGACTACGAACGTGAACGGGAACGTGACACTGATCGTCGTAGAGAACGCAAACGTTATGAGGAACGTAAAAGTCGCAGTCGTAGCCGTAGTCGAGAACGCAACAGTTACATCAAAAGAGACCAACGAGAATATGATCGTTCAAAAACACGCAATACATCCAAGGAACGTGGATGATATTTCCTAAAGAATAATTGAATGACTAAAGGATTTATTAAGCAAAACGATAAACGTTTAACCTGTAAAAAACTTCAAACATTTTACTATTTTTGTGTATTGTATTTAAATATTTCTATGAATAATATTGACTGCAATAAATTGATGATTATTTTAAATTTTGATTATTATATTCCTCTATAACAGCTCTAAACTCATTTACCGACATTTTACAAGTGGCCTCACCACACTTTTTAGACCAAGCAAACTGCCAAACTTGATCAAAGTTTAAGGGTAAAAGACGTTTAAAAATACGTTTCAATTCATCTTTTGAGCGTAAAACTTCAAAATCACTTGGCGCCAAACCATACGACATGGGTATATCAGGACATATTAGATCACTAACCGTAGTACGATCCTTAGTACTTTGTTTAGCGGAAAGATCATGAGTATCTAAAGTTTTTTGCCGATCTGAACACAATAAACGATATGTGGTTTGTTTATTATCCTGACATTGAGCCATATCTTTTACAACAGGTTTACGCGGCAAAGGATATTGATTATGCAACATTTTCCAAAATTCTTTCCAATTAACCAACTCCGTGTCTTCATTATCATCTTTAAGCATTTCAAAATATTCAATGGCCAAAAGAAGTTTTTCTTTATTTGCATTAATGTTTAGTGTTTTTAAAGTTTTCATTATCGAATCAAAGGCTATAAAGCCGCATTCCTTTTCATCGTATTTATTAAGCAGCGTTTTCAAATCGTACATATGAAAATCGCTATGATTAAAGAGAAAACGTCGCAACTTATGGACATAGGAAATGGCTTCAATTATTTTCATATTTTTCACACTCGGCTCAACATTTTCAATTAGGGCACGAACATTATAATTATAACGATTTGTTTTTATGCCAAATGTTTGTTGCGGATCCAGGTTTAAATTGTAACTATTGTAATTAATGTAAAATATAAATCAAATAATCAAAATGCAAGACTTACCGATCAATTTTTTCTCCCAGCTTACCGGTGGTACGATTTAGAAATTGTTTCTGAGCCTTATTAATAACCACCATGCGTTCACATTGCTGCAAACATTTTTTAACCATTTGACCCGTTTTATCTACATTATGGGCGATGCCATATACAGCCTCAGGATTGAAATTTTCATTGTAACTATATAAAAACACAATGTATTAGTATATTTTTACTCCATTTCTAGCACAACATTTTCCCTACTTTCTCTTGATTCTCTCCGCCGGCAAATAGTGTTTATGCGATATCAAGTATTTATCATGCCATTGTAAAAATTCTCTTTTAACCTGTTGCGCTGTTTTATTGGGACACACAAGCTCATATAGTCTTTCCGATTCCAGGTTTTTTAAACCATAGGTAAAATTTTCATTAGTATACTCAATTGGTTTGGATTGCAAGGGGAAAACTTGTCCTAATTCGGGTTTTTTAAAAAACATATCCTCGGAAAATTTCTCTTTGAAAGCAACAAAACGACTTTTCTTTAATTCGGGACTTAAAAGATCCTTTAAGCTTTCGTTGGGTAAAAATGGCGAATATCCTAGGCTGGTATTTGCCTTTGCCGCTTGTAGTTGTTTTTTGCATTTCATATTCATAATATTAAAGGCTGCCTCTTGGGGTGAATATATTTTTAGGGCATCTCCCACAGTTTCCGTACATTCCAACAGTTTTCCAGCTGTTCGTAGAGTGGGATTACGATCTATATATTTGCCTTTGTTAGACATTTTGAAAATTTGGTGAATTTAATGTTTTGGGGGATTAAATATTTAAAAAATAAAATTGTATCAAATATGTATCAAGGAAACGATTTGAAAGAGCACACAACACTGATAAAAGGGCTGAATTCTTCTTTTTGTTGTTTTTTTTTTTTTGACAAAATAATGTTTATTTATCGGTTACAATTTTACACGAAAAGCCTTTGGCGTCTGTAACAAAATTTTAACTTTGCACATTATGTGGTGATTAAAAAGTAAAGTTCACCACAAAAACCGTTATATAGAAAGGTCAGTAACTGTATCTACCTAAAAGTATGCTCTGTCTATGTTATGTTTTAATGTTATTTGTTTGCAGAAACCAAAGTCTATCAAAATTAATAACGTCTTAAAATCATCTGTCACTGTGTAGAGTTTTATAAATCGACTTTTGAACAATTGACTATCGTAAATCGAAATAAAAGCTGAAATATGTCGGAAAAAATAATATAAAGTGAGTCAAATCTTAACTACCCTTCACCATAGTGTATTTAAACAAAGTTGATACTTTTTACAAAAACAAGAAAAAAAAAAATAAAATTAACTTTTTTGTACTTTTTTTAATTTTTAAGAATTTAATTTTATTTTTATAGAATTTAATTTAAAGAATTTTTTACAGGTTGTCAGCGATTTTTGCTCATAACTCTGATTTCGATTTCGACCATTACGTGTTTCCAACTTTTATTTACAAAGTAAACTTTTTGACTTTTTCACAAAAGATAATAATTTACCTACTTTTTTGGACGATGTAGTCCACTACAATTTATAGAACTCTGGTACTAATAATCAGTGTTATATACAGAAAATACCTTCCTCTTTAAACATTTAAATTTCACATTAAAAATGTATTTGCCAATTTTAGAAATTTCCCACTGTACAAAAAGAACCTGTACTAAAGTCGTTAATTTTCATGTCAAAATAAGCTGAAAATTTTTCAAAGGCGTTCTTAGGTTTGACGACGGCTAAGCGCAGGCCATTGTCAGTAGTTCGGCGGAGGTCTTTGCTACTCATTAGCAAAAAAAAATATCTAAAAGTAAATGCAAGTGTTTAAGCAATAAATAAAATTATTTAAATAAAAAAGTGATAAAAGAAAGAAAGCAAAAAATACTAAAACGCAAAAAAGGTGAATAAAATTAAATTTAATGTATTGTTTTTTGTTGCAAACGAACAAAAGAAGAAAAAACATGAAAAATCCTAAACTGTAATAAACAAGCAAAATTTTGTGTATGGAAAATTTTTCCTCAATAATTTTATTGTTGGACAACTTTTTTTCTGTTTCTACAAAGATGTCTCCAACAGTCACCACCACTCAACCACCATCATTGTCAGCGATAAAACCCCAACATTGAGAAACTGCTACGCAAAAAAATATAAAAAAAAAAACAAAAAAGGGGAGCAACATAGAGGAAGGAAAAAATTCCAGAGTTATTTTTTTTTTGTTCATTTTTTGTTAATTACATTTAGTAAAGTGTAAATAACTGGAATAGACTGTGTGTTCAATATATAAAACCGATTTTTTTGGGTGCGTTTGCAAAATGTGTGTGCAAGAAAGAGATGGCTGTAGTGTGACATGAGTGAAGTGATTGAAAGAAAAACAGTGCTGCCAAGTTATGTACTAATTTATATGAGGGGCCGACGTTTTTCTTTTTTTTTTATTGTTTGTGCCAGTTTTCTCTTCGTGTCGGTGTAATTGGAAATAAAAATTGGAATTTTTTCGCATAAAGTGATTATTTGCTTGAAAAAAGAAGAAAATCTAAAAAATCATTGAATTTTATCATGAAGCAAACGTAAAGTGTAGATATTTTTTTAAAAGTGATTAAGTAATATTGTGTTAAAGTAATATATCGTAAAATTTTTTGCTAATTAAATTTAACAAGTTTATAGCATGAAAAATCATAATTGTTAAGATTTCCTGCTGATATTTGTTTAGATGTTTGTTAATAATTAGGCATTACAAGTTTATTGCATTTACTGCAAATTGCATTATTTTTTTCCTTCGCATTTATTGTTCTTTATTTCGTTTCATTTCTCTATCGAATTTTTCTGATTTTATCATTTTATTTTTTTTTTGATTGTGCAGAATAAAAATGCTGCCAAATCATTGCACTTGTTGCCGTGCTCTTTTTATGTTTGTGAGAGAAATCTCTCGGGAAAATTATCAGTGATGGTTTTTGTTCTACCATATCAATTACTAACTTTTTTGTTCGAAATGATTGATTAAAATAATTCTATTTATAAAAAAGTTTCAATTTTTTTAACAAAATTTGTGAATTAAATTTAGTAACAGTGATATTTTCTAGACAAATCTTAACAATATGGCCACACTAACTTTAGTAAGACATTTGTGTTGTTATTTTTTCATTGTTATTATTTGTGTTTTCTAGTGTGCCTTTTCCTCTCAGTAGTATATCCAGTGATTTGTTGTTCTTTGTACCTTTTGTTCGTTAATTTACTTGTCGTTTCCTTTACTTGTAAAATAAAAAAAATAGATGACGCATCATTTTGACGTTTTGAAAAAAATTATAAATTGTTAATTTTTGTCAGCTGTTGTTAGTTCTGTTAATAAAAGTGTAAATAAATTAATGTTTAAACTTTTGTTTAATAGTGTGCAAAATTTCCAACATTTTATGATAAAGAATTAAAAGGGAATAACACATAAAAAATATAAAGTGAAAGTTGCAGTTACATTTTGTTGGTGTTTTTGTGTTTTTTTTATTTTTTCTTCTAATATCTTTTTTGGATTCTTCTGTGGTGAGTTTGTGTGGTGGCGTTGTATTGTATTTGAATATGTAATTTTGTCCATTTATTTAAACTTTTTGTCAACACATTTATTCATATTTAACTACGTTGAGAATGGATTAAAATTGTGATGTTGGGCCCGTCAGTCGGTCGGTCATAGTTACATTTTATGTCAAGTGCACTTTGAGTGCAGTTTTAATAAGAGAGAGTATTTGAGTGTGAGTGTGTTTAAATGTTTTTGTTTTTGCTTTTTTAATTCTTTATTGATTTCTTTGTAAATTTGTAGTGATTTTTGGTTTTGTTGTTCTCTTGCAATATGCTAAATGAAAAGTCATATTTTTGCTAAGATTAGAAATGTTCGTGCTTTAAATGTTGTTTTTAATTTTATACAAGTTAGTTTTAAAAGTAGTTAATATTATAATTTATGTTAAATTTATGCGGGTTATTATGGGGTTCAATTTATATTTTGTTTTAAATGAATGGTTTTTTACGCTTCCTAAACCGATTTAAAGATGTCCAGCTATGGCTGGGGCTGCGTGGATAACTTTAGTTTATTGAATGGTCTATTGACTAGTATATAGATTACTCAAATAATTAGTCTGTGGACTAGTTGAATGACTCTAACACACTATGTACTAG